AGTTAATAGGGTGACAAATTGCTTTCAACTGGATTAAAGGGTGTACTATTCGCTCATGTCACCGGGTAATAACCTTCAAGTTGTTCTGCCTTTATATTTTTTTTCCGACGGAAGAAAAAAAAAGAAGTATTCTCTTATAATGACCCTAACTGAATTAAGTCCTTTATGAATATAATCATTACAAGTAGCTTATAGTGGACATCTCTTTGTGTATTAATAGTATTTTTATTTTAATATATATATTTTTTAATGCTACACGTTTTCATTTCCACTTTAGTTTGTCAATTCTGCTAAACAGTTAAATGCTCTAAAATTAAAGTAAAACCTATTTTCTCTTTTTGTCCTTCGTACGTTGAAAGGTCCCTACGACACTTACTCATACTGGCTGAACTTCAAAAGCTCATTAACTTAGTGTTCTTTAATTAAAGTCGGTAAGATTTGTCAGTCGGAGGTGCAGAGAACGAACTGAAAGCGAGCGTGGATAATTCACTCCGACATTGCAAGGTTGTTATGGACAGCTCACAACATATCATCATGTATAACGAGCCGTGTACTCTTGATATCTCTATTTTTATTTCTTTAAGCCAAGCCCCATTCGCATAGTCATTTTTTGGGTATTGGAAACCTTCTTTGTTAATTAACAGCTCTCACGGGGAATGCCAAAGTTTTGCTCTCCCTCCGACGCTGCTCTTCGCTTCATCCGTCATCCAAAGCTCTCTTCTTATAATCTGTCAAATGTTAAGATTTTTCAAGGGAATAGCTTATTTCATCCCGAGATGATCATAAGACCTTTATTTTGCTTTAAAGATACAAAAAATACAGGTTAATTAATATTTAACTTTTTGAAACAAAAGAAGTTAATTTTTTTAACTTTTTGTTAACCGTAACTAAAAAAAATTAACCGATAGCCCTAAAAAAGCCAAAATTTTAATCGATAACCGTAAAAGCCACCACCCCATCGAGACCCTCAAATAATCTGTATTGGCAACATTTAAACAGTCCTTTCTAGACTTCAAAGAGCACACTTTTACGTAAGAGCTTTAATTATTCTCTCTGCATACCAGCAAAAATTTATCTTTTTTTACTCTCATTTGAATAGCATTTTCCACTGTTAAGAGGGGTCAGTGGAATAGAGGCATGTATGGTTAATGGTTCATATTTTGGCTTTCCTATGGCTCACGGTTAAAACGAGTAAAAAGTAAAAAAAAAACCCTCAAATAAATAACTTTAACAAAATATTAATAATAAAAATGACAATAAATAATAATAATAATAATAATAATAATAATAATAATAACATTTAAGATAAATAGTTAGGGCGCTAAGGACTCCAGTTTTTAGTTTTTTTTTTCTCTAGAAATCTAGAAACACAAGCTTGCTGATGTTTTTACTTAGATTTTTTAGAACATTAGAGTTTGATATTATTATAAATAAGCTTTTAGTAGAGATAATCACATTAAGATGGCCTCGTTTAGGTACTAAGAGATAATGAGAGTGTAAAAACGGAATAATTTTCTAAATAGGCCTCTATTAGAGATAATCATATCATCATTTCTTAGCGTAAGTTTTACAGACTATCAGAATTTAATAATATTCTAAATTGGCTTTTTAAGTAGAGAGATTCATAGCATTATATATTTTAGGATCGTATTAGGTTTCGTCAGGATGGGCTCCTGGTTTCGTATCGACTTTTCTTTAGTTCTAAGTATAGCTTCTCAAGTGGTGTAGGTTATGCTATGCGTCCTAACTATTCATAATGTGGACAGCATTCCAAAGTTTCATTCTGCGACATAATAATAATATGTACGATAAACTTGTTTAAGACTAACGGTTAAAAATATTCAGTTCAAAACTCGCTCATTTATATCTTTATGTGATCAAAAACAATACCATGCTAACAATTGATTTGCAAAAAAAGAAGCAAAAAAAGGTGCCCGTCTTCCACATTTTAACGCAGAAAATGAAATGTAACGGCTTTTCCTATGGACAAAGAAAACTGTGAGCAATATAACAAGGTGTTCATTATTAAAAGGGTGACCTGAAAGTTGTATTCGACTTCCTTTTAAGTTTGAGGTTTCTTGTGCATTTTCTCAGTAATCTTACGAAATTTATAGCTTATAACAGAACCTTATGGTATTGAAGATAACTGAAGCAAAAAGAAAACCAAATAAACAAATGGTGGGAAAAACAAATAAATAAAATGTAAAAAAAGTTTAAAACTTTAAAAAATTGGATATTTTGTATTGAGATAATACTCCGGTAATTAATGTAGAGAGGCATTAGTGTCAATAACATCAAATGTATCTGAAACAGAATTAAGAGCCTCGCAGTATAATAAATTTTTTTAAGCACTTAGCGTTATATTCATCAAAAGGGCCATGAATTCCAGCACGACTGAACTTTATTTTGAAACCTTCGATTGTCTAAACTCATTGTCTGCGGCGCCTAGGGCCATCGATGTCACAGCATCGACTAGGAAAAAAAAAATCGCAAAAAATCGCGTTACTTCAGTTAATAGCTTTAGCCAATTATGTGCCTAGATCCAGCCCCCTGCGAGTTTTGCGCTTCACGCAACGATTTTTCATAAATGTAGAAAAATGGCGGTGCGTAGTGAGAAGTATTGGGGATGTTTTTGCATAGAATGAAAGCTTATTTCGACAAATTTCAACCAAATGCAAGTCAAGCAAATTGTTTTGAAGGATTTTGGAGGATAACAAGCAAAACAAACGCGAAAATGGCGGTAGGAAAACAGTAAGAATCTTTGCCTTCAATTCCCGGAGTCGGCAATCTCTGGCACAAATTCTCTTCAAATGCAGTGAATCCCGTCCTGCTGAGCTTTTTGCCTTCAAATTCTTGCTTATTTTGATCGCTTATATCAGTGAATTCATATTTGCTTGTTTTTGACTTGATATTTCGCTGCGAAACTAAAAAATAAAGCGTCTTTTGAAGGTAAATATTCAGGCCACAAAGTGACGCTGAAGTATCTAGTTTCGCTATGCTAATTAGCTCTGACTCATTTGCATAGTCCAATAGGGTCGCAAAATAAATTTGTAGAAAATTGTTAGTCGCTCTATTTTTCGACCGATATTCAGGCTTTTTAGCTTAGATATTGAAGAAAAAAAGTTGTTTGTACCGTATTACACAAAACACACAGCCTTCCTGGCAAAATTACACTCTTAAAAATTTTTAAAAATAATTATGCAGAAATATGCTTGTTTATAATTTTTTATGTGGAATATTATGGGTTTCCTGAGACCGAATTATTTTTTTTCTGAAAGTTTAATTTTTGCGCTTTCCATTGAGGTATAGCTTTATAAGGTACTGGAAATAACAGCAGAGATATGAATTTTTAAAGTTGCATGGTTAAGCGCCGAAGGAAAAACAAAGTTGAACACAAGAACGCGTTATTCTCTGCATGTAAACTGATAATAAACGATACTGGGGTTTTTCCTGATCTCTCCCCCTCTCTCATGTCCTTAGTAAATGCCCAGGAGTTGAATCCACCTAGTTTCCCTTTCCTTTCAGATCATTATACGCCTAGCCCTCCCCTAAACCAACTTTTTGCCCTAAGTGAGACATATTAGTGTTAATGTTGGTTTAGGGGAGGGATAGGTGAGCAGTTTCCCTCTCGTTTCTAAAGTGGAGAATTCGGGCCGAAATCGGTTTAGTTCACTATAGAATATGAACGTTACCGACGGAACTGTTATGCTATGATGTTAAATCCGACGATTTATTAACTAAATCTATGCTACCTTAAACCGCATACAACGATTGCCGCGGTGATATCACCTGAAACGACCATTAAACAGATTTACGTTACAACCGCTCATTTAACTTAGTCCAGCATTCAGCCCTGCACAAAATAAGTCCGATTCTTTTTTTCGCAAACCACTTATCCAGTCGATATTTTTCTGAACTTCTGTCGGAAATTAAATACCGCATTATAATGATGTTATCCAATTAACAGCGTGACAAATTGCTTTCAACTGGCTTAAAAGGTGTAGTATCCGCTCATGTCACCGGGTAATAACCTTCAAGTTGTTCCGCCTTTATATTTTTCTTCCGACGGAAGAAGAAAAAAAAAGGAAAAAAAAAGTATTCTCTTATAATAACCCCAACTTAATTAAGTCCTTTATGAATGGCATCATTTCAGTCTAGTAGCTTATAGTGGACATCTCTTTGTGTATTTATAGTATTTTTATTTTAATATATATATTTTTTTAACAGGAAATTCTACACGTTTTCATTTCCACTTTAATTTGTCAATTCTGCTAAACACTTAAATGATCTTAATTTAAAGTAAAACCTATTTTCTCTTTTTGTCCTTAGTGCGTTGAAAGGTCCCTAAGACACTTACTCATATTGGCTGAACTTCAAAAGCTCATTAACTTAGTGTTCTTGAAAATCAGTAATTTGTCAGTCAGAGGTGCAGAGAGCAAACTGAAAGCGAGTGTAGATAATTCACCCAGACATTGCAAGGTTATTATGGACAGCTCACAACATATCGTCAGGTATAACGGGTCGTGTACTCTTGATATCTCTATATTTATTTATTTAAGCCAAGCCCCATTCGCATATCATTTTTTGGCTATTGGAAACCTTGTCTGTTCATTAACAGCTATAACGGGGAATGCCATAATCTTGCTCGCCCTCCGACGCTGCTCTTCACTTCATCCGTCATCCAAAGCTCTCTTCTCCAGCCTGGCAATATCTGACTTTGGCGTGGGTCTTGTTGCTCAACCACTGTTTGCTGCATACACTTTGGCCATAGCATGGGATAATCCTGGACTATTCTGTATTGTTGGTTTACCTTACAGTTTGTTTTCTTCTTTCCTGGGTCTTGTGTCCTTCTGTACAATCTCAATAGTAGCTCTAGACAGACATCTTGCTTTGATTCTTCGATTCAGGTATCGTAAAATTGTCACTGTCAAGCGAATAACCTTGATTCTTATGGTAGCTTGGTTTTGTCCGCCTTCTTCACTGTATCCAGAACCTTTAGCATGAATCTTCGACGTATAGCTAGTAACTTGATGTTGGTTTCCTGTCTTCTGCTTGCCTTATTTTTCTATCTCAAGACATACATCAACCTCCGTCAGCATAAACTCAGAATGGAGAGTTCTTTTAGCGTTTTCTACTATCGCAAATCAACCAACAGCATGTTCATTGTTTTTTGCCTATTTTTGAGTACTTATCTTCCTTTCGTATTTGCTTTAGTTGTTGCTACCGCCTTTGGCTTCAGTAGTTTTCCCCAGCTTTTTGCGCTCGATATCACTTCGTTTCTCGCTTTGTTAAATTCGTCTCTTAACCCAGTGGTGTATTGCTGGAGGATCAAAGAAATTCAAAGGGAGGCAAAGCAGTTGATCCGTAACAGCCATTCATGCTATTCCATCATCCTGGGTAGATTTTTCCAAAGCCGTGTCATGCCATTAAACACTTCACAGGGAGTCCAGCTTGTATAGGAATGGAGTCAAGTAATTTGTCAAACGTTTAGTTAGAACATTGGACAAAAATTAGGTCTATCAAGGATTTTGGGACAGTGGGTGTTTACTGATAATAAAATATAGAAAGTAAGATTTTGTCAGTTTTCACTGTACCTCATCTGCAGTGCCAAAAATGATTTCATTTTCTGTCAATTTACCACCTGTTATTTGAGAAGGTTCGTTATTGCTAACATTATTGGCGGATAGTTATTCATTGTATAGGTATTAATGTTAAACAAATAGCACTATCCTTCTTTTAGAAGCAGTTTTTAAGCGGTGGCTGATTCAGATTTTGGGTAAGTGGGTAGCCTACGACATAGACGAAACTAAACTCTCACCTGGTAAAGTCCGTCTGCTAAACAGGGCCAAAATCCGTGTTCTGCACCCCCCCTCCTCCTCCCAGGGGGTAAGCGTGATTTGATTTGGCACCATGACTGGCCACTTAAAAAAGCCATTGTCTGTTTGCAAATCAAGATGAAAGGAAATTGGAAACTCACTTCCGGTAATTCATTGAGTCTGTTGGGGGCCCAGAATAAAAATATGGTCATGGGGGTGGGGAGAGTGGGGGCTCATAGTAATTGGAATCGTGCCGTGATTCCTTTTCTCCTCCAGTCTGCTTCTGACACCAAGGTTTTCTCATCAAAAGTTTCCTCCAGTTATTTGTAACAGATATTACACTCAGAACGGCAGTCAATAGTATCTGTCGTTATGTTGGTCAGCTTTGTCCCATTGTACGTATTTGTGGAATGAGGCCCCGTTTATATGAAGAAAAGTTGTCCCCGGAAAAAGATTCACCCTCCCAGCCTAGTCAGCTTTTGCGACCCTTTATATAAGAAAAAAAGTTGACCCTTTGTCCGTGCCAAATGCTCAGACACTTTGCTCGCGCTTGCTCTAATTGTCTCGCCTTGATCGAGCTTTCCCGGCGGGCGCTCCAAAGTGTTTTGGCGCGAGCTGGACGGTGACCCTACATGTACCATTGTAGTAGGGTCACCTAGCTCGTAGGCGGTAGAAATTTGGTTGGCCCAGGGTAGCTCGGGCGGGCTCTAGGTCACTGTAATATGGACATTGCTTGTGTGTGAAGGAAAGATGTGAGAATATGATAACTATAACTTTTTAGCCACCAAATCCTCGTACATCCGTTCAACTTTTTAATCTGACTTATTTACATATAAACGCAATTAAAATTTATCTCACTGATCTGTTTATTCAGACAATCAGACTGTGAACTACAATTCCAACAAGTTTTCTGCCACGTCTTCTGACACAAAGACGTTATCTCCTCTTAATATTGTCCAAGGGCAATTTTCAAATTCACTTTGTTATTGATAGCAACACGAAGGCAGGGGCAGATCTAGGGGGAGGGAGCAGGGGGTGCGCCCCCCCCCCCGTGAGATGACGTGCGGTTTTCTAATACAACTGGTATTCTGCAAAAAAAAAACTATCTGGTTTATTGGTGTTGAAGTAGAGCAAGAGACGAGTGCACCCCCTCCTTAAAAAAATCCTAGATCCGCCACTGGAAGGCACGATAACGATTTTGAACATGACCATATATGGCACATATAGAACAATACAATTTCTTCGAAGGATGTTTGCTTCTCTTAAGGTCGTTAAGATTTTCTGCTTCAAGTTCTTGTTCGTATTTTTTCCACTTTATACCTACTAAAAACTCTCTCACTCAGCCATGAATCGTTCCCGTGTTGCTTTTGTTTCATCTACTTTCTGATAATATGCCTTTTGAACTGTTGGTCCAACATAAGTTTGAATTCCATGCTTATTTTCCTTAAGATAACTTTTCTGTTTACGCCTATCTTGAAAAAAAAAATAAAATGAAATAAAAATAAACAATAAAAACAGAAATAAGACAATAATTATTAGAAAAACAAAAAAAATATTTAAAAAATAATTTACCCGTTGGTCGAAAAATTAATCTTTATAGCGGTGTTTTTACTTTTCAAAGAAATCGGGTCCTTGTTTACATATCTTTATCTTCTATCGAACGTTTTTTTTGGTATCGCGTCGAACGCAGAATTTCAAAAAGTACACTTCAAAATCTGCCCGAGGCTGACTTTGAGTTACGTGTTATCAAATGCGGTCCTTTAGTAATGAGTTTCTAAGAATAAGAAACAAAGCCCAGTTCCGTTAAACGTAATCAGGCAGTGTAGGTATATTGGAACCATTTAAACGATAAAGAAATATCGTTACTTTCAATTATATTCAGTCGCATCGAAGTAACGTAAACTGATTTCAGGAATTGAGGATAAACAAATAAGATTGTAGGGGACAAAAATCCTTCAAGTGGGCGTTAGGGAGTTTTCTATACAACCAATTAGTTTCTTTGTAGATCTCCTTTCATCGAAAAGATATATAATTTGAAACTGACCTAGCCTATTGTACAATTTCATGAAAAATATAATTATCGTCAGTTTTTGACTCCTGAAGAATTAAAAGATACCGCGAAGGATATTAAAGTATGCCCTATCTTAAAATAAACTTTGACACTGACATTTGAATACAAGCCATGTACAAGAAGTACAAAGGGGGATAAATTCAACCATCCCTCCCCCCCCCCCAACTTCTCTCTGTTATTTAAACAACTGTCCCTCTCCTCCGTATCTCCTTTATTCTCCAGGCCGTTTTGGCAAGCTTTCGTGACTGTACTTTTCTACGTTTACGATAGATGACGTCATAAGTTTTTTTGGACAAGAATTATCGTACAAGATTTTGCCGAAAAAGCAATGAAATGTTTGTTACAACACCACAGACATCAACCAAAAAAAAAAACACGATTTTCGGTCAAAATTCCTTTTTTTTTTGTTCGTATCTTTGATCCGTGTGACGAAATTGTTAAGTGTTTAGGGCATTCAACTAACATGAAAATATGTTTTCGTCCCAACCGTTGTCAATATTCAGGCTTTGAATACGTCATTATTCGTGTTGTTTTAAATAGGGAAATGCACCGCATTAAAATAATGATATGTTACATTCCTTGATTTCCTTTCAAACAAATGAGCTGAAAAGACTCGTAGAAAAGATATTAAAGGTTATACATTACAGGGGACGGGAAAAGGTTGCAAAGTTGCAGAGGAGAATAAACTTCTAAACCGGAAACGTTTATGGTACATTGTCGTTTGGAAGAGCATTGGATGACACTAGCCTTCCGTCCATGAAATATATAACTGTATATTGCTAGCTATAGTCCTGGGCCCAGATGTTCGAAGGCCTATTCAGTAGCTCTAATCGGGGATTAAGTTTTAATCCAGGTTTCTTTCTCTTTTCTTCAAAAGCAATTTCTCCGATTATACTGCTACATGAGAAATTTCTGCAATCTGATTTGCTGAGAGCAGTGGTATTTCAGCTTAATTTGAAATACCTCATGTGAAAATTTCAAACCTTTTGCGGGTAGTAGTATAAACAAATAATAGCATGATTTGTACGTGATATTTTGCATAAATACCGCTGGCGATATTTCAAAATTGTCTCAAATTTCACTCGCCTAACGGCTTGTGAAATTACGTATAACAATTTCGAAATATCACTCGTGATATTTATGCCAAATATCACTACAAATCATGCTATTACCTATACTAATTTTCTCCATTCTATTTAGAGCATTCTCTCAAAAAATTGTAGACAAAAAGAATTAAAATGAAGTTTATTTTCAAGCCTTCTGAATTCAATTTTCAGACTAACCCTGGGTTATCTCAACCCAGCTTTGAACAGCCCGGTCCTGCAATGCCAATCGACTACTTCACCTGATCGCACAGGTTGTCGAAACGTCAGCCACTTTCAACAACAACAGTCCTATTCAGGACTATGTTCACCCGGACGATCAAACTCAACCTACTTTTGAAATAACTCCTGGGTTCAAACCTTTCACAGTGATTTGTAGTGATATTTGGCAAAAATACCACAAGCGATATTTCGAAATTGTTGTACGTAATTTCACGAACAGTTAGGCGAGTGAAATTTGAGACAATTTTGAAATATCACAAGTGGTATTTATGCCAAATATTACGTACAAATCATGCTGTTATCTGTTTATACTACTACCCACAAAAGGTTTGTTATTTCACATGTAGGTTTTTCAAATTAAGCTGATTAATTGCAGAAATTTCTCATGAAGTAGTATGATGGTAAGGAATTAATCCCCGAAGGCCATACTAGATTTTGATAATAGTGAGATAGTGATCGATATGCCTGTTCTAAGTTTAAAATGATTGAATTTACCCCAAATTATAAAGTTAATAAAATTTAATTTATTCCAGACTGGATTAAAACAAAAAATCGACTTTATCAATTATTTAAGTTGTGTGTGTAGTGAAAAACGGTGTATTAAATACATTGGACATACCCATTTCACGTACAAAGGATGACGCCGCTTAAGTTACCCGTACCTCTGTTCACCATGGCGAAAGTCAGATTCAATTCCAGCCTGACTACTTTTCTTTTCAAATATAACCGTAAAACTAACATTTCTCAGAGTTTAGTTTTGTGTACAACATTGGGACAATCAAAATGAAATGAATTAGAACCTTTTATTTGAAAAGGTTATAAACCCAAAGTAAGCGAAAAAAATATTTATGCCTATATAATAAAAATGAAACTAATTACTTTTCAATACAGTGTTTAGTTTAATTTCCCATTTACCCTTGAGGTTCTAGAGCTAAAGATGGCTGTTTATATAATCTTTAACGGAATGAACCCACAAGGTTCAAATTTTGATGTGGCTTCGTCTGAGGTAAAATAGATCGCATTAAAATGTATACGCTTTAATTAACCCTTTAATATCATAGGTGACGAATTACTCCTTAATTTTGGCGCGAAATTTCAGCGTTAATTTGTAATTTCACAATTGCCATGGCAACCCTTCCGTACGTCTCAGTGTCAAGATGGCGACGAAGTTTTAAAATGCAGTGAATGAAGATGTCAGGGCCCAAAAAGACGCTTTAGAAAACCTGAACTCACAAGAGAGAACATCA